TTTTTTGCAGTGTACAAGACATACTTACAATGCCCCAACGTATATGCATTTATGGACGTGCCCTGTTTAAGCAACCATTATCTGGTACGGACCGGAAACACAAGGCAACCTCTATATGTATATTGAAGAATGAGAAGAACGAGCAGTAGTAGCAGTACCATAGAATGAAGAACAGTGCAGAATGTGCGCCCACCATCAGCCATGAAAACGGAGACAGAGACAGCCAGCGGACAAGAGAGGCAAGAGTTTTCCACTGCAATCGGTGAATTCCAGACAATGTGCAATCGGGAAAGCGAGGGGAAGCCAATGCCACGCCCACACTATGCCACACTATATGGAGCACAGTGAAAATGCCATGCCCAAGCCCAAGCCCAAGCCTTTCTTCCTTTCAATGTGACGCCTTTCCCTCTGTGTCCTCTGTGTTGCGATGTAAAAATCACCCAACCCACTGTGAATCCAAACACTGAACACTGAAGCTGAAGCCAACGCCAACGATGACATTGAAAGGGAAATTACATTTCATGTTTATTGTCTTAATAAAAATAATGTTTTCGCAAAAGAGGCAAAACACACACAGCACACACCCACACCGCATGCCCATACACCTCTGGGGCTCTCGTATCTCGGCACAAATCATCTCAGATTCAATGCAAAATGCAGATACCCAAGACAATCTGTGCCTTTTGTAATGTATTTTTATAGCAAATGCAGCAAAAGCAAAAGGAACTGAGGAAAGAGTCCCACATTGAATTATGGGGTAGCAGTTCAAGGAGTTAAAGGGAAATCCCCTTGAAATGGGGACAGAGGGTGGGATTTTTTGGTACGAATATGATTTATGTCCAGAACACAAGTGCCCGTCATAAGATATGGAAGTATATTTGCACAAATCAAACCCAGGAGAGATATTATTATAGTTTTGTTTGAGGATAAAAACTTTTAACAAGGCGGCCAGCAATATGTTGGTTTTATTAAGTAATAAATCAACTTGAATGTGTAGCAACCACTTGAAATCTATTTTTAACAATATGCTAAGAAACTGCTTAAAAATTATATCAAAACTTACATAAACTTCTTAAAAGTTCTTTGTGAGATAGAAAAAATTACTAAGACCATTTTTAATTTATTTAAAAATAGTTTTAGAGTTAGAAAATATTTTCTGACTATCAATTTAAGTATATTTATTATTTTAAGTTCATAACTTAAGCCTTAAATCCATAAATTAACTTAAATCTTGTACTGTTTTTAACAATTTTCCAGCCACTGTGCATGGGTTTCGTTTTACGCTCCTTGTTTACTTTGGCTTCCTTTTTTGGCTGGGTGAGCCGAAATTTAAATATTTGACATTTATTAATGTAATGAAAATGTCATTAAATAAACATGGCAGTATGAAACTGGTTAGCCGAATGTGCGCAGTCAACAGCCAAAAATGAAAGCACTTGCCAAGGCATTCCACCTGCTCGAAAATTCCACAAAAACAAAAAAAAAAAATCAACCAACAAAAAAATAAATAAAATAAATAAAGAATATATGTGACAAGACCTAGGGAATATTCCTGAGCGGGAACAGAGCAAGGGAGGAGGAGACCAACATTATTTTCAGCGTCTTCTTCGCACATTTGGCCGCAGCATAAACACCTGGACAACACGTGGGTTTTCCGCCACTAGCTGAAAATTGCTTTGAAGTGGAATGGGGCGGGGGAGGGGGAAAGTCAGCGTGTAGACAAAGGAATGCTTCTTAATATTGGCCTGCCTGCCTGCCTGCCCCCCAGGAACTCAAAGTGATTCATGTAGTGCAAACACATGTACATTCACAACTGTTCTGCCCCAAGTCCCTGAAGGCTAGCTGAGTTTTCCCTCCTTTTTCCCCAAAAAAAAATTATATATATATGTGTATGTGTGTATATGGAAATTTCTTTTATTTGGCATAAGCGTATTTACGTAAACAATTTGAAAAATCTATGAAAATATTGTACATGTGCAAAAAGGGAAAACTAAATAGGAGGCCAACAGAGGTCAAATGACAATGATTAATATACCTATTTTAAAAAGAAACCTTAAAACATTTAATCCTTTAAGATATTCTTCATTTTCCTTGATAATTTTAAAGACAATTGAGTAATTACCTGTGCAAACCTTATAATTTAATCAATAAATCCATTTAACCCTTAAGATATTAATTAAGTTAAAGGATTTTAAAAGTACTTGATTCATTCAGCGACACACAGTTTACGCTCAAGCATAAATTATTCAATAAATCAATCACAGAACCTAATAAAGGCATGAAAATAACCTTAAATTATTTATGCCCTGCCTTTTAAACCGTGAAGCCTCTTCCCGTCTCTCTTTCTCTCTCTCTCTCTCTCTTTCTATAAAAACGAATACCCTCAATCAACTATGAATAAATGCTATAACATATGAACAGAGCCAAGCAAGAACAAAAAAAAAAAATACTCAATTAATACACCTTGAATGTGAAAATAGCTGCATGGGGCTAAATAATGTACGAAACAAAATAAAATAAAACAAAACAAAAAAAAAAAAGAAATCAAAATTCATGAACATACGTAGGTTTTGGTAGTGAGCCAGACGGATAGATGGATGGAATAAAGTAGAATAGGTAAATGGATAGTATGCATAGAATAATAAATAGATGGAACATGGCCCGGGTCCGAGAGATATCTGGTATATGGGATCCAGCGGGAGGGAAGCCGAGCCATTTTCCAATGTAAACAAAAGTATCGGGTACGTATCGGTAAATCGGTAAATCGAAAAATAAGAAAATCTGTTCGCTTCGGTTCGCCGGCAGTCGCTGAAGTTAATATAAACATAATGCGGGGGCAAACAGAAACAGAAACAGAGACACACACACTCATACACAGGCCGTAATTATTGGACCGCATGTAAAAATCGACTTAAAGCTAAACAACAACAACAAGAAAGGAAACTAACTTTGGGAAGTCGAAGTTTGAATACCCTTGAAACTCGGAAATCAATCCTAACTAAGCTTAAACTTAAACTTTGAATCTCTATTTAACGATATTTTTAAATGGCAATTTTTTCGATAAATCAAAGTTTTAAAAACCTATAACTAAGCCAAAAAATCATTAATTTTAATTCGGAAAGCTTTCCCATGTAAGTTTTTATTAGGTTAATAAATCTGTATACTCAATAGAATTTCGAATTTTTATAATTTTTTTAAAAAATTTTAAACAATGTAACCCCTTAACAAATTTTTAAAATTTTGAAAAAATTAAATTTTAGTCGAACATAGCCAGATTGAATCGGCTTTTTCATGCTGATCAAGAATATATATGATTTATAGGGTCGGAAATGACTTCTTCACATTGTTACAAGCTTCTGACTGGAACTTAAATACCCGGCAAGGGTATCAAAATACTGTTTTTAAAGATTCTCCGGCGATTCCCCCTCTAAAATAAAACAGAAATGAACTTGATACTCTTCTCGTCGTCCGCCTTTGCGTTCTCTATTTGCAATTGTGTGGAAAATTGAAAATCAAATGAATGAGGGCGCGTGCAGGGGTAAAAAAAAAATAAATAAAAATAAGCAACAATGTCCGATATATACCAGACCAGGTCCAACCCATCCAAGCCAACAATATGAACTATAAAAAGCGAACACGAAAAAATATCCAAGTCCGCTTGACCAAAGGCCAAAACAGTAGAGTGTCCAGCAGAAGAGACCTCGTCCAAAGTGGGCGGGCTTTGGCCATTTCTCGAAAGAAAGGGGAGGGGCACTTGCAATGTTGAAAAGAGAATACACAAAAGCCGGGCCAAGAAGGAATGTAAAATTGTTCATTTCGTGGCTCTCAGAGCTGAGAACGTGGACGAAAATATGTAACTGCTTTTCGGTTCAGTTGAAATGTGCAATTATTAATGTAAATTAGGTTTACATATTTTATTTGGGAATAATTGAATTCTTTTAGTTTCCCTTTTTTACAAGTATTTAAAGTTTCCCTTAAAGTATTAATTTTAAAATTGAAAAAAGCAAAGATTTATTGTCTTAGGTTTAAGAATTCTTATTCGATGACTAAATTAACTAAACTTTCCATAACTTTGAAGATTCGAGAGAAAACTTAAGAAATTTTAAATAATTAAACCTTTCTTCTTTCTCTTCGATTTTAGATTTTTCAATCACTTTTAAATAAATATTAGCTACTTTGATAACTAAATTTTCTCCATTTCGATTACTTCGATTTCTAAGCTGACCTCATATTTTCTGCTCGATTAATTCGATTGTTTTCACATTTCTATATATCTTTGATAGCTTTCTCAGCTTCTCTGTTTTATTAATTGTATTATTTTTTGCTAAACTCATTGTCCACTGATGTCATCGACTCGTGTCACGAGACCTGAACCCCTCTTATTCAATACTGTTTGCATCTGTTATTGTTGCTGGTGTTGGGTGGTAAACTTGGAAAATGGGTAAAAAGTGGTGGGGGTCGTGGGGGGAAAAGCGCTCTCCCATATGTGGGTTTTTTTTTTTTTTATATATATATTTTCCCTTTTCAGGGGAGGAGGAACAATTAGGGGGCGTCTCCGGTTTGTGTAGGTGTTGTTTGGGGGTTTAAGGTTAGAAGGGCCGGACCGGGCCAGGGCTCTTTCGAGTGGGGTGTTATAGTAAACCGCATATATACAATCTGCTGTTTTTATTTATTTCCCTTTTGGTTTTCTCCTGCTTTGTTTTGCTTTTGTTCGGCCAGGGGTTCTGTTCTGTTTTGCAATTTCTGCGCTATCACAGCTGCAGTTTGCACATACAATTTCTATATAGCCTTTATTCCTTTCATCCTCGGGTGCTTTCGGTTATAGACAAATACATGAAAGGGGGGCCAACTTATGGGTTAAAACAGAGGGGCTTTTCCTTTGTTTATTATCGTTATCGTTATTAGTATTATTATTATTTTTATAATTATTATTATTAGGCTTATTGTACTTTTATAGGGGGGTGGTATATATATGTGCTTATTGTTGCTTTTGTACTTACCATTTGATTGAGCATGAATCGCTAAAAATATCGAGAGGAATGAAAGAGCGCTAGCCAAGAATTTTGCCTCCATCTTTGGTATTGATCCGTTGTTGTTTGTTGGTTGTTATTAATTATGCTGCCGATGTTGTTGTTGTTATTATCCTGCTCCTGCTGCTGCTGCTGCTGCTCCTCCTGCTGGTTTATTATATGGTGTCGTTTTCGTTATTTCCTTGTCATTTGCATTTAGTATGGATTTTTTTACTAACTTTACTCCGTTGAATGATTGATTTTTTTCTTATATTTTGAATTTGTTGTTGGGTTGTTGGTTATTTCTTAGTTGTTGGTTTTGTGTTGTTGTTGTTGTTGTTGTTGGTTGTTGTGGTTGTAGTTGTTGTGTTTTCTTTTCCTTTCTTTTTGTTTTGTACTTTAAGCTTAACTTACTAAATCATTATGGTAAATATTAATTTATAAATAGATCTTTAAATGTATACGTTATTAGGCTTAGTTATTTAATTTGATATTTAGTTGATGCTGTTGATGTCGTTTGTTGTTGGTTGGTTTTCTTTTTCGGTTTCGGATTTTCCTTTTGGTGTTTTGCTTGAATACGAATTTTTGTAACTTTTCTTGAATTATTATTATAAATATTATTATTCAACCAGCTTTTATTTTCCTATTTTTGGTTCTTAATTCATGTAGCTAGAATTTGGCAAATAAAATGTTGATGAAATTTTTAATTTTTGCATTTATATTTCGCGGTTTTTGAAGGCAAACTTTCTTCAACTTTTTTTCACTGTTGTTTTGTATCTGTCTTTCGTTCGGTTTAATTTTATGATTTTTGCAACAAATCAGTGAATGAAAAAAGAGGAAAAGTGGAGAGGAGAGGGAAAACTTTTCAAAATACATAAATTTCAAAATAAAAAGTTGGTAAAACAGCGAGCCAAAGAGAGGGAAAGAGAGGAAGAAGAAAGGCAAAATCAGAATCAAGGATGTGGCGGCGAATAGAAAACCGAAAAGCAAAACGAAAGCCGAACGAACAACATTTAACATTCAACTAAATATAATTTCTTCACAATTTTTTGTTGCTCTTTGTGTTTCTCTTTCTATCGTTCTTTGGTTTTTTTTTCTATTATTTCTTTTTTGTCTCGTTCTTCATGTTTTTTTTTACTGCACGTGCTAGCCACTTAAGGGGGATGGGGGTGCTAATTTACCGTTAACTTTCTCAGCTTTATTTTCACGCACAAAACGGAAAAGCTCCCACCGCACACACAGGCACACGCACATACACACACGCCATGAAATTTTGTCCCAGTCCAAAAATTCTATTTCACGATTTTTTTCTTCGATTTTTCTTCTATTTTTTTTTTTTTTTTTCTACTAGCCAAACCGAAAAAAGAAATTATGGTACGTTGACGACGAAAATACTATTTTTTCTGGCTAGACACACTAGAGAGAGAGAAAGAGAGTGTTGGAGTGAGAGAGCGGCACACAAAGAGCAAATAATTATGATTTACACAAGGAGCGCAACAATTTCTAGCTGCTTTTTGGCCAAAAGCCGTTGTTGTTGTTGTTCTTGCTTGCTAATCCCGTAAGGTAAGGTTAGTTGTTATACTTGTTGTTGTTGTTGTTGTTGTTGTTGGACAACGGTGAACACAAAAGTGGGCGAATTTGGCGAATCGAGGCGAATACAGCGAACGAGGCGAACGAACACAGAGCCGAACGGAGCGAATTTAGCGAGCAGACTGAACCGCACACATGACCAGCGGGCTAGAGTAGCCCGTATAGCCAGCCGCCTCCACACAGTCGCGGTCGCTGCCTCGGTCGACGTCGCCGCTGACCGCAGCGACAGCGGCAGCAGCAGCAGCAGCAGCTGGCAACTGGCAACGACGTCGACGCACAGTGATTTCAGTTTGATATACACTTGGTCGGTCGTCGCGGTCTTATCTTAATAGTTCAGCCGTTATCTTGACCAGGCCGATTACGGGTATTACATAAAATGGCGAAAGACGGCTAAGGTCCGCAGCGATGGCAAAGTACCTGCAGTCCCCAAGAGATTTTAGGTCTCCAAGATATTGTATCTTGCTTTATGGCTGTTTTTTAAAGATACAGTCGAATCCCGATAATTCGTACCCCGCTAAATCGAAAATCGCGATAATTCGTAAAAAATTCTGTCCCCTTGAAAAAAACTCGTTAATTCGTAAAAATTCCATACATTTTGGTCCCCTCGTTAATTCGTAGTATTTGGCGCAACGCAAAGAATATTGAACCTCTTATAAATAGTAATTTTGTTTCGAAACGTCTTATAAATCGTAATGCGATGCGAAATATTTTGTTAAATTTTGCAGAAATCAGAACGGAGAAGAAATTTTATAGAATTTACAAACCAGAGCATTAATTCCTCAACTTAAACATTATTTTTCGACTCATGATGTGCCAAATAGTGTGTTTGACAACCTAATAGGTTTAGAAACGCAATGGAAAAAATAAAAGAAAAAACACGAAGCAATCAAAATTACCAATTATTTTAAAGCTTGAAATTTCGTTTTTAATAATTTAATGTTTCTGCTTAATTTTGTTTGTTAATTTTTTGTTTAATTTTCCTTTAATTTGAAAAACGTACACATGAATGTACATATTTATTATGTTTGTTTAATTTTAATAAAGCTAAACACATATGTAAACATGATGTGAAATGTAAGTACCCCGTTTATTCGACTCTTTCATTTTTGAGCCCCTTTAAATAGAAATCTCGATAAATCGAATTCCCGTCTAATTCGTAAAAAAGTGATCCCTTGCCATTTCGAATTATCGGGACTCGACTGTATTTTTATGGTCAGAAATTATTTGGATAGGCTGAGAAACTAGGAATTTTAGAACATAATTTCTACAACTTTTTAGATCCCTAATTTAAGGGCATTGATTCAGATTATAACAATTCTATGAATAGGACTTGATATCCTTATAAAGTATGCTTCAAAGTATGCAATAAAATTATTGAGCTGCCAAGGTAGTCCTAGAACAATTTTAGATGGATTTTTTAAATGGATCTTTGTGATTTGTTTAAAATTACTAAGATTATTTATCTCTTATATCTTATAAATTATATAGAATTAAATTAATTATGAAAATCATATATCGTTCTTAAAATACAACCTGTAGACTGACAAATATTGTCAATTATTTCCAATAAATTATTTAAAATAGAATAGCAAGACGAGCACAAAACAACTTGCTTTATCAAGAATTAATATATACTTAAAAGTCTTTTAAAATATATATGACAATGTGATATGTAAGTATAAAGCACAAGTGTAAACACTTGATTCAGCATGAACTGACACTTTAGCGATACTGAGTCAATCCTCAAAATGTATTGAAATTTAACAGCTATGACTGTATGAAGATCGCCTGAATATAATTACGACCAATTAGTTGATGATTGAAGCAAATAACATTCCGGTTGCCTCACTGCATGACGTCTGCATAAAGCTTGATAACAATAGGTGCTGCCTTGATCTATCATTTCTAGAATTTCCTACTGCGGATGAGGCGACAGTTGAACTATTTTCAGGCTTATCAATGCGGGAAGACAAACACTGAGTTAGAGAATGAGATAAGGAAAGACGAGGAGTCAGCGTAGTCAGCGTTGACTAAAGTTTAGCGGGAAAATGTTTTAAATATTGAACAAATAAATCATTCGGCACAAATTCCTTAATTTTTGAATATTTAATTGAATTTTAAATGAAATTAAAACATTAACTAATTCATTTCTGATATAGGGAATTCTAAACTTGTACCAAAACTTTAAAGCAATCAAATTAAAGCTAGAAAAACATTTATTTCAAAAATTCTAGACCTACAAATTATGCCGAATGGCCAACACTTGAGCCTCGCTGAGGAATCTCAATTTTTTGTTTACTGAAATGAAATGTTTCCGTAACGTGCCACGAATCTCCTACCCTCATTATATCTCGTATTAAGATAAACCTCTTTATGCAGTACTTTAAACAAATACTGGTCTCCCGGTTCCGTTCCGAACTTATCTGCTGATACTGCTACATGATATAATATTATATTATGATGAAGCAACGACGTCAGATTGTCCCGCCGCCCAGTCACTGAGTTCCGTCCCAGAGGCCCAGACCAACCCAACCAACCGATGCTCCCATCCGATCCGATCCGATCCATATCCATCGGTTCCTCTGGCTGGTTTCGGGCGGTTCTGTTCGGTTCGCTCATAAATATATCCATCGTTTTTGCTAATTCGGCATGGTCGGGTCCGGTGGGGGTTGCGGAACAATCGTCTCGTCGCATTTATTATTGGTCAGCAGTATTTATTTTTACAATTTGCGAGAACAAATATGAAATCAGCTGTTTTTCTGCTCATCCGCTGAGCGTAACGATCAAGGGTATATAGTATTTAACGAAGGTGTAACGCACACAGAAAGAGTTCCTAATCCTATCGGATTTAGTGGCCAAATAATTATAAAATTGAGCTAGATAATTATGAAAATATCAATGTCAATTTGTGATCACCTGTATTTTGTATTTGTTCCTTAAAAATCTGGTTTTATTTTCAATATCCTGTGCCTGTGTCAATATCAACAAACGGAAAATGTTGTAAAAATTTCCTACACATTTTGATTTCATTTCCATAAAAATATTCCTATCTATATAATTATCTGTACAATTTGGATTAAGTTATGAGCACTACAATTGTTGACATCAATTTCTGTGACGACAATGCTGACAATAGGTATTTTATTTAATATTTTTAATCCCCTGGAAATTGATAAAAAATATTAATAAAAGCTTTTTGATTATAGGAAATTTATGGCCTATATTTGGCAAACTTGTGTTTTATCAGGAACAGTTGAAAGTTACCACTTTAATATCCTTTGCTTTCTTTTTTGATTAATAAAACTTTAGAGTTACATAATAAGGAATTTAGTGCTTTCAAATTTTTTAAAAATCTTTAAGCTTGTTTTTTCAGAATTTAATTAAAGAATAATTCAAAATCCTAATTTCAGCGCAACTCACTTTCAAATCAAATTGAATTGAATCATCTTTAGTCTCCAAGCTTGTCAATTATTGGAGAAAGGCGGGTGGCAAGTGGCATGTTATCGATTCCGTAGGAGAAAGAACAAAAAAAAAACAATGCTATCGATTTGCTGTTGGCCTCGAGGTCAATCGAATGCTAAATGTTATGGTATTCTCTGTTCTGCGTGTGTGTTTGCGGACATTTGTGCCAAAGTTTTAGCGTTCCTTCGCGTTTTATTGGCAAACTTTGAGCATAAACACTTTGGAGACAAATTGCTCAAACCGCAAGTTAGGCAGCAGAGGAATAAAGTGATATAGTGGAGAGTAGAAAAGAGCAGCAGCATAACGTCATCGTCAGCCATGACTCAGTTTATTTGCTCTCCCTCTCCCGCACTTTCGCACACACACACACACACAGTCGCAGCAGCGGCACACACACACTCACGATGCTGTTTTTAAGCTGAGGCCAAAAATCGAACTTAAGATGCTTCAAGTAAATGAACAAAAATATTAATAAGCGCAAAATTTTAAAGCCAACAAATAGCAGAGTTCCAATTTAATAGCCTTAATTAAAAGGCTTACAGAAATATGCTTGTGCTCCATCACAATCAAATTCACGGCTTCGTTGCTGGCCAATAAAGTTCATTCAAATGACTTTATGGTGTGCGCGTGTATGCGTGGTGTTGGTTGTGGCCATTGATGGCAAGTACAGTGGAAACAGGCTGGGATTTAAGATGGGAAAATATCTAAAAAACAAACGTTTTTAGTTGTCGTTTAAATGGAGGGTTTTTCAGAAAATTTACTTCTACTTTCTGTTTGTTATTAATTTGCTTCCAAAATTAGATATTTCTGGTCCTAAATCTTGTATAAAAATTCCTTACAGACAAACCAAAATTTAATTTGTTATCAAATCTAAAAATGTAATAATTACTGGCTTCCAGAAATGAACAATAATGATAGTATACACTTAAAAATTCCTTTATCTTCCTAATTCTAAAATATTTCTTTGAAAAAGTGGAGACTAATAAAAAAAGAAAAAAGGATTTAAAGTGTAAATCGACCTAAAATCAATATCAAAGATACTTTTTGAAGTCACAACCTTTGTAATTGTTGGTAATCTTGCAAAAATGTACTCCTTATCGAGTTATCACTGCATGTGTGATCCGCGAAGTATGCCACAAAATTTGGCGTTACGATTAAGAGCTAGGCAAAACACGACACAATTAGAAACGAGTTTTGTTTTTGGAATCGAAGCTCAGCTCATACGCGCAATGCCCCCACTGTATCGATGTTGATGTTGGTGTGTCATGGCAGGCTGGATGACGTGATTGTCTCCTCTCCTCGCTCTCCTACTACTACTGCCTTTCGCCCGTTTTAACCTCCGCTCTGTGCGCCCGCATATGATTAAAACGGCAAAACAAGATAAAACTCGTTGGAGCAAAGGAGCTGCTGCTGCTGCCGCTGTGTTGTTTTGTTGCTTTCTTCCCTACTGCTCTTGTTGTTGTTCTTGTTGTGCGGAGAGGAGGGGAGAGAGTGGGAGTGGGAGGGAAATATACGCATGACACTCCTTGCCGCCGCACACACGCGCTCGCCTGCTGGCTGATATACCAACACCAGCGGAGCACGCGACACACGGACACGAGGGGTCACTCACACAGGCGCAGCACCCGCACTATTTTTCCCACCCACTTCCTTCGTCCTACTCCACTCGCCTATTAACCGTTATTAGTTTATTTACAATATTAAAAAAGGTTCTTCGTATGTATAGTGTACATCAAACATCACAGTGGAGTATGTACATAAGAGAAACTATGGGATCACTCTCGCACCCATACATACACACACACACACTCACTCACACACACACTAGCACTCTGTTACGGTATCAAGGAATTTTTGGCATAGTAATAGTAACGCGTTTTCGGTAATTTTCTTTTTGGGGGTAGGGGGAACCTGGAGAGAGGGTCTTCCTCTTTTTTCTCGCTTTTCGTTTTGCGCTTTCTTCTTTCTTTCTTTTTTAGCAGCGATGACGACAGCGTGCGCGGCGTTTTTTTTTCGCTGCTCCGTTTTTTTTTTGCCTTCAATAACATTTACACTTTGCACTATTTATGTAATAGTTTTTCAATCGGTGCGCGGTGTTTCATCTCAGCACGATTTTCGGGCACTAGCTGGCGAGCACTTGCCGCAGACTGGGTTACGAATTATGTACATTTTTCACATTTTTCCCCGATGATTTTTCTTTTGTGTTTTACTACCAAAGAAGAGAACAAACTACCAACACACACGCACGCACTCTCGCACACACACACACTCAGAGCGAGGCACGCACCAAACACACACACACACGTCCATATACACCGCTCAATGACGAAATTCCTCGCACAGCGTTGACAACTCTAGGTTCTAGCTCTCCCAGCTCCTCGGCTGCGGCGCTGCGGCTGTATATGTGCGTGCGGGTGTCTGAGCCATACATGTGTGTGTGTGCATGAGTGGGCCTGCGTGTGTTGGTATGCGATTGTGAGAGATACTGGTGTGCTTTTTGTCATAATTTCAGCGTTGAGCAACCAGCACCTTTAACTTGATGACCGATTTTCGCACATTCACCGCCCTCGGGGGCACACACACTAACCGCTGGCGCACGGGCTGGGGATTAAGCTGCACGGGTTTTCACTCTTTTTCGCATTTACCTAGCACACAAAACACAAAAATTCGATTTTTTCCTCGCTGTAGAGCTGCAACAACACCGATGTAACTATCGATAGTACTGATGTGTTCCGTAGAGGCGATGTGCAATGTGCTGGATTTTGGCTTATCGATAATCAAAGCTTGATAGTGGAGAACTTGGGAAAGGTTGTTAACTTGGGTGGAAAAGTGAATACATTGCTGATAACAATCAATTATCGTGTTATCGATAGTTTATACTAGAATTATCGTAATGGTTTCTCAAATTGGGTTAGAATAATACTGCTTTGCCGACGTCTCTAATAAGAACAGCATGGACACGCACCTTAATCAAGAAGGGGAAATTGGGTGCGAAAACTAGAACAATTTGAATTTTTATCGTTAAAAACTTAAAATTCTAACTTGTTGCTTTTAAAATAACCAAAATATACATAGTCTGATTTTATTTTATAATTAATTTTAAAACAAAAGCTATATTTTAAACCCCTTTGAGCGCATGCGTTTGTTTTGACTATTTTTTTGGTTACCAAGGAAACCCTTTTCTTTGTTTTTCAAAACAACTTGTTTTACATTCCCCAAAAAGTTGCATTTTAGTTAAAATAAATTTCAGAAAAACCATCTAAAATGCAGCAAGAGGAAGTCACCGGCGAGAAAACCCAACAGCAGTTGCAAAACTTTCAATCGGATGACTTGCTGGAAAAACTTAAATTACTCAATTACGAAAAGCATTTGTTAAAGGAATTTAAACTTAAGCCTTTATCGCGTTTTTACTTTGTAAAGGCCACGAATCCCGGTGAGCAATTCTATATGTTCACTTTGATATGTTGGTGGCTCTGCAAGAAGCTAGGCAAGGATATGGAGCGGCCGCAGGAGTATGATGATCCCAATACAGTGGCAGCCAAAATAATACAAATGCTTGAGGAGATTGTAAGCTGAAAAATGGGTTAAGAAATCTATAAATTTATAATATATAATAATTATTTAATTACTTACCAGGACGTCCCTGTGGATTTCCAACCAAATAAGCTTATACGCGGAGCCGGGCCCATTTGCCTCATGGTCCTGGATGTCCTCTCCACCCAGGCCTGCAAGGTGGCCAAGGTCGGGTTTCAGCGGCTCCACATTGCCCAGGAGGAGGAGTTCCTTGGGGATTATCTCGAGGATAATGCTGAGATTATATTGGAAAAACTGGAGGATGAACAGAATGCCGCCGCCTTGAGCGATGACAGTGATATGGAACTGGAGGCTCATAATTTCCGGCAACTCAATTGGCTAAATCGTCCTCAAAAGAAGTCCATTGGCGATGTTAATCTGGATGAGCGAAATCAGGAGCTGGATGCCCGGCTAAGTGACCATCAGGAGTGGCATTTGGAATTGGAAAGAGTGCTACCACATCTCAAGGTGTTTGTCAAGGCCGATGCCCGTGACTGGAGGACGCACATCACCCAAATGGAGCCTTTAGGAGCAACATAGCAGAGGCATCGGAAACCACCCAAGTCAGCTAAGAAGCTGCACAGCGAGTTTACTTTTAGTTTGGAGAAAGTCGAGAGCCGGGAGAAGCATCTGAATAATGAGCTACAGCCACTGATTCAACAGTTTAAGGAACTATCCATCGAATTATCCACGATTCAATATGCCCAGAATCAAATCCAGGCGGATACGGAGAAGCAAACGGCGCAGCTCAGTGAGGTCATGATGGAGCAGGAACTGAAGAAGGAGGAAATGGAGCGACGAGGACAAGTCATGTCGATGGAAGTGAGTATGGAAGGGGGTTGTTTTTTTTGTAAGAAAATTATTAAAATGATTACTTTAATAATCAGATTACACTTGTTTAAATAATCCGGTGAATATAAGGATTAATTTAAATTCCTCTTGGATAGCAATATTTTTAATTTTTATTTTTAATATATTCATTATAAAAATTACTTAATAAATAGTAGATATATAACTGACTTAAGATCACCTTCTTCACCAGTAACACCTTTTTTCCTCACTCTTCTTTCTCTACAAAGATAAGATATCTTAAAAACCCTGATTCTGGTCAACAAAAATCTCAGAACCCATACAATTAATCCCTCAAAAACCACCCACAATGCCATTAATACTCTATATAAGGTGCTAATTCCTCTCTTATCGTCCAGGTTCAGTCCAACAGATCAAGAAATCGATTGCCAAGCTAAAGGAGGACATTGCTCAACTCAATTTGGAGGTGGCTCTTCTGGTGCATGCCCACGATCAGGACATTGTGGTGCGGCAGTTGATCAGCGATCAGCAAACCACCGATGTAACAAACAATCCATAAAACCCAACCAATCGGTGCCGATAAGGACTACTTAGCATACAATATATATATTTTTTTATGTCTATATCCCTGGGGATGTCCCAAGCCCGATCGCTTCACACCTTGCGAATGGGTGTGCGGTTGCTCTCGTTTACACGCGATCTGTAAGAGAGATATGTATCTACACTGGAAGAAATGTTAGAGTAAGAGAGAGAGAGGAAATAAAATTGTTGACCTAATGGGTTTCATTCTTTTAAGCAGAATTTATATCCTTAGGGTATCAAATTTCAGTCAAATCGTAAAACCAGTAAAGAACCATTTCCGACCCTATAAATCATATATATTCTTGATCAGCATCAACAGCCGAATCGATCTGGCTATGTCTATTCGAAATTTATTTTTTTCAAAACTTCAAAAATATTAAGGAGTCAAATCGTTAAAAGTGTCATCTCAAAATTTGACAAAAATTTTAATTTCTTTAAAATATAAATTGAGTAGCGGATTTATTAACCTAATAAAAACTAAGATAAAACAGCTACCGAAATTAAAATTTATGCTATTTTGACTTAGTTATGAGATTTTTAAACTTTGATTTTCGGTCAAATTGTCATATACAAATATCGATAAATATTGATTCAAAGATGCATATATTTTCAGCTTATGGATAGTATTCCTATGCGATCCTATATTTAATTGTAAACTGCTTATTTTATGTGTATTTTTTAATTACAGTGTATTTTGGGCTAGAGCGAGATAGCTTGAGGACCACCGGCGTTGCCCCGCCCGCTTTGGCGATCGTTTGATTCGATCGCCGTTCGCCGCTGATAAGTTTCGTAATTGGTTGCCAAGCCACAAACCGAAAGGGCGGTCAATTATCACCTCTTTGTTATCTGCTCCTCGGACAAACACACACACATACGCTTACAACACCTACAACGACACGCGCTTGTGCGATCCTTCCATGATCATTTCCAGATAACGGTACGGCAAGAGAGTGTAGAGCAGGATGAAGCAGCAGCTCTTGCGCTATCGTCTATCGTCTATCTCCTTTCGCCCATGGCGCACGTACTTGACAGAAGTCGCCGCCGCCGTCGCGTAATTGTGCACTGAGAGAAAAGCTTTAATAAAAGCAGTTCAAAAGAAATATATGCTAAATGAAATACATTTTTGGCAAGTGAAAAATTCACATTTTAAACAATATTTAATAAAATATGAAAACTAGATATTAAGTAAATAGCTGAAAATATTTCTTCCAGTGTAATCGCAACCATAACCTAACCAAACTCACTGGAATCTGGAAAACCCTTGGAAATGTGGTAAAGAGGTGCTGGACCACTGCATCCCTCATCTCAAATAATATCCCAAAAGAACACTATTTACCAAACTTCATTTTTTGTTTGTCCCCGTTTTGGCCCAGTAACTAAGATAAGCCAGTTGGCAAGTTGGAAAATTGGGTGTTTTCCTTTGTTTTGGCCAAATGTGGCCCGCAACTTGTTAGGATTTGCTTGTAATGGCCTGGCCAGAGGTGCTAAAAGGTTTTTCCCAAACGCAAAACACACAGACACACGTAGAAAAGCCAAAGGAAAATCAGTCGGGAATTTTCCACAGTTGAAAAACAGGCAGGGCTTAACAAAATGTAAACCAGGTTTGATAATAATAATAATTAATTAAAAAGTTGGGCTACAACTTCGAAAAATAACTAAATTGAAAATCCTACCACTTCTCCTATCAATGCCTAGTGCCATCTCTTTCTCCTTCCACCTCCTCTCTTTCCCCCACTCTTTAGCTCTCCATCTCGCTCTCTCCTGTCTCCATCTGCACTGTTTCTTTCCTTTTTTTTTGCTGCTGGGGCTTTCCACTTGGCATAAATTGCATTATTATTAGGCTTATTTGAAATGCGCCGACCGAGCTGAACAAAAAACAACAACAACAACAAAAACAATGAGCTGCTTGCAGTGAAATTGCAAAAGCTCACTCAGCCCCCCCCCCCCCCCAACAACAAAGGCTACAAAGGAAGGAGAAGCAGCTGAAGAAGACGAAGAGGAAGAGAAAAAGAAGAAGAAGGAAGGAACGTCAGTAAACTCGATTGTTGTTGCTGTGTGTTGCTTTTACTGCTTTTATTGTTGTTGCTGGTGCGGTGCAAAAAGCCAAAAAGCTACTGTTCATTTCCCACGGTAGGACTTCTCTCTCTCTCTCTCTTTTGCTCGCTCGCTCTCTCCCACTCTCTCAACGCAGATGCCATTCCATTCCAATGAGACTGAGTGACTGGCAGCAGCAGCCACAACAACAACAACAACAACAACAGTAAGTCTCTCTTTTGGCCTGCTCCCATTGTTGTAGTTGTTGTTATTGCTTTGGTTTGAGCCTGATTCAAGCTTCGTTTTTATTTGCATTCGGCTTTGAGCTTCGGCTTTGGGGGATTTTTTTTTGTGGGAGGCAGCTGACTCTCTTGCTCTCATTGTCCAAGTAAGTTTTTGTTGTTGTTATTGCGAGTACTGGGATGAGTTTCATTTTCTCATTGTTTATTTTACAGGTGAACTTCGGTGAAAAGAAATTTATAATTATATAGAGATAAATTTAAGACAAATGTAGGAAAGAAACATTGCTATAGAATAGTAAACATTAATTTTAGTTAAAAAAGATTACCGATCATTTTATTTTTAGAATACAGCAGAATTCATGAGGTTTTTATATATATATATATATTTTCGAGATCACACAAGTCTACATCCCAAATTTCATATCGATAGACTTCTAAATCCAGAGATCCTTGAGTTTATCTGAATTAAATATGTAAGAAAAGATTCAAATAACATGGAGGTTGTTTAAAACGAAATCCAGAATAAATAATTTATCAAGATATTTTTAAAATTTTAACAAGCTGGAGAAATAAATATATTTTAGTATATATAGGATATCCTTTAGCTAGTCCCAATTCTTCAAGCCTCCCTGTACAGAAATCGAAGCAAAGAAAAAGAGTAAACCTGTTGCCCCTTTTCGACTTTATTTGAATGAACAAAAATGTATAGTTTTTATTTTAACTCTTTTTTAGCCCTGCGGCTAAAAGGCATTTTGTGAGCATAAATCGTGAGGGGATCGAAATCGGATCTCTCTGCCTATATGTAGCTTTCTCGTTCTCTTTTTCCCGATCTCTCTCTCTCTCTGTCTCTCTCTCTCTCTTTCTCACTCTCTGGAAGAATCTCTAATCCCTAAGCGCAGGCGCCACCTACCCCAGAGAGATATGCCAAGCCTTTTGCCTGGATATGCCCTCGCCTTTTGTAATTTCTCAATAAAAATGGAAAAACTAATAAATTTCGATCCCAACTAGCAAAGTCGGAGGCTCCAGTCCCAGCGGGCGGGCTACTGGAAGCACGACAGACCGACAAAAAAATTATTTGTTTTGTCATATATGCAAAGTTCCATAATTTATGATCTAATATAATACAAAAAAGAAAAAATATCAAGAAAAAAGATTTCAAATTGAAGGATGAAAACTTGGCGCTAACCATTCACAAAAAAAGAAGAAAAACGAAAAGAATTGAGAGGGGAAAAGAAAAAACGACGATTTCATTGAAAACTTTAAAGATTTTTTGGGTTTTTGGGTTGGGTTTCGACGCTGTGTGGGATATCTGGGATCATTGTCAACATTTTGACCGCTCGCTGTGCCCGTAATCATCAGCGGTCGGTCTATGCCCCCTTCGAGGCCCCTTCAAAGTCCCTCTATATAGCCCCCATTTCATACAACAAATTTTGGTAAGAGTGACGCCGCCGCCAAACATCGATTTAAATGCAAATCAATGTAATAAAACATTTTTGTTTGTGATCTTTTCACTGTGCTTGGGTCTCAATTTACACTTGGAACAATATTGTTATTTATATTTGAGCTTGAAATAAAAACAAAAATATACAAAAAAAGTACCTAGGGACTTTTATCAATAAAAAACACCTTATGATCTTACTACAGAAATATCATATCGAAAATATCGTGAATTCTGATATATCGAATTCTTAGAAAATGAATAACATGATATTTTACTTTTAAATATCGATATCACCGATCAATTTTTATTGTACTTGCCTCTTTTTGATCCTTTATATCAAAAATAATATCGATTTATCACAAATTCAGTTAAAGCAATATGAAAATATCAATTTATTTATCGACTTATGTTTCAAATATCGAGAAAGTATCGACATTCCTATTTTTTAATGTTCTTAAGAAACTAATCGAATGAAAATTGATTAATTTTTCTTAGTGCATTGTATTTAATGTCGCCTGGGTTAACCTTAAACTATTAATTTCGAATTGAATCCATGGGCACCCACGCAAGGCGACACCTTTAAGATTATAATATCCCCCATTTTTTGTTCGGAACGGAAGTTCGTGTGGCGCTTAGAAAAAAGGAAAAGAAAAAAGACCAAAAGAACTAAATCGAATGTAAATCACCTAAGAATTCCAGGTGAAAAAAATATATATGTGGGCCGATGTAATTTGTTTAGAATTGGGGATATTGTGTGTGTTCCATAGAAAATCACACAATTTAGGGGGTTTTTAAGGTGGAGATTTTCCATTTAGAAACCAAAGAGACATGGGTTGACACCTTTCGAGATCAATTGGTCGGTGATAAGTGCTATAAGATTCGACTTACAATGCATTTATATGGATGAGATCAAGTGGTAAAGTGATTTAATGGTCAATAATCTACTTTTGAACTCATTTAAGCCACAGAAACCCCTTCTCAAGAGGGATACTGAGACATGATTTCGAAGAGTTATTTCTTAATTAAATTCTAGAGAATTAAGGAAACTTCCTGAATATCTAAGTAAGTTATCAATATTTATTTAAATTTAAAACCTTAAACAATGGACTCCGTTTCCCTTCTGTTTTTCTGACAAAACTTTAAAGCTTTGCCACACACTTTGCCTACTTCTTTATGGCAAATTAATGAATGAAAAAAAGCTGAACAAAAATTCCAAATAAACCATAAATTTTTATTAATTTCTATAGCGGCTGCCTGAACAATCGGTTCGATTCATAGAGTTCTGCAGAAAATACTACCGAACCGCACCTCAATTATAATAAAAATAACAAATTCGTAGAGTGGAAAAACCTTTGCTGCTGCTGGTGCTGCTCCCACAGAAGTGACAACAAAATTAAAATTTACGAAATAAAAATTAAAATTAAATAAAACACAACAACAACTACACAAAAAAGAGTGAACAATGAACGCGACACTGAAACCGAAAACCGAACAACGCAAAATTAGCATAAAAACTGTGAAAGATTTTTTTTGAAGCTGGCATATCAAATGAGGAGATCAAGTTTATTGTTTTTGTTTTTTTTTTTTTTTTGGCCAAGTTAGTTCATTCAGTTTCGGATTCATTGATAGATCGACGAGCGGAGAAGACTAACTGTTAAAATAGACACATCAGCCCCCTTTACGAGGGGACCATAATTCAAATTTATGTGAAAACACACAAGTCCGGGCCGAAAGAAAAAATAAATCAAGTCACGACTTTTGCTTAGGATAAATGGATAAGATGCACTTGGAAAAAATATATATCCCTTGCAGGTATTATAGAGCATTAAGGATACGAAAATGGAGAAATATAGTTGTTATATTCAAAACACTTGCAAAGTATTATAACTTCAGTCAAAACCTTAAAAAGCAGTGAAGGGTCATTTCCGACCCAAAATCATATATATTCTTGATCAGCATGAACAGCCGAATCGATCTAGCTATGTTCGGTCAAAATTATTTTTTTCAAAATTTTGAAAATTTTATAAGGGGTTACTTGGTTAAAATTGCCAAAAAATTGTTTTTTTTTAATTTTAATTCAGTATGCAGATTTATAATCTTATAAAAACTAAATATGACTGCTTTCGAATTAAAATTAATGGTGTTTTGACCAGTTATGAGTTTTTAATTTGATTTTTTGAAAAATTGAATAAAAATTTCGATAATTTCATTAAAAATTAATATTTAAGCTTATTAATGGTTTCCGATTGATTTTATAATTTATTGAAGCTAAAATGGTTAGAAAATATCGATATTACATTTTTATATCAGTTTACATTATTAAAACGTTTGCAGAAAAATTATTTGGAATTATAGAGACCAAAGTGGCAAAAAGTGAAGATAGAGAGGTAACAAATAAATTATCGATACTGGATGATATTTGCTCAAAATAATTATCGATAATTAGAATTATGATTTTACTAGCTAATTAACTGAAATGAATTCAGCAATGAATTTTGATACTCGTTTTTGAAAAAGTTATTAAACTTTACATATTTTGACCTTCCGTTTCTCCCTCTGTGTACTGATGGGGCCCCCTTATTCCCAAACACACCTTGAATTCAGGGCCCAAGAGCAAACTGAAGCTAAATGACAACTCAGACAACTACCGTGTGCCAAATGAAGACGATGAAAAAATGAAAAGATGGAACCAACCGCCTCCTCGTCATCGTCATCATTGTCATCATTGTCATCATCATCATCATCATCAACATCATCCTCGCCAAAAAACTGTTGACAACGCCTTGCTGCGGTGGCTGCGGTCCAGTTTCATTATTATTAACAACAACAAATATATGCATATTTATTTATGATACAGTATGACAAAAAATAAACCCCAAACGGATCCCATTCAACGCCCACACGTCTTCGACATTTTACCCGCTTCTACAGATTCATCTCTGTATTTTTACCTTTATGTATATATTTATTATAATTTTTTTTGCATCTGTCGGTTGATCTTTCTGGTCTTTTTGTGCTCCTTCAAAATTTATGTGACCGCATCGCTGCCGTATGAATTTTTAATTTTTTTTCACCCAATCTTTTATATTTTTTTATTTTTATTATTTGTTGCCCTGCTGCTTGTTGTTTGTTGATGTTGTCTGATTTTGTTTGCCTTTTTAATTTTGGCAATTAATGAAATTTAATACTTTTGTGTGCACTGTCTGTCGGTCGCAGCATTCTTGTTTCGGCCTTAATTCGTTTTTATTGAAAACATATTGGGAAAGTTGCGGCAAAAGGAATTTGGGCAATATTGTTAAGGGACATTGTGAAATGACAGATTGGTTAAATAGATGATAGATGGGTTAGAAAATGGTTTAGAAGAATGTGAGGTCTAAAAATAAAGGATTTTGGGGAGTAAGAAAGATATAAATATAATAAAATATAAATTAATGAGGTATAAATATAAAGGTATAATTATTTGTTATTGCTTAGAAAAGACGTCAAATAATTTTTCTGACTTAAATCCTTTGTATATTGTAAGAGGAGTTTATTATTTTTCAGTCATATATACTTAAAATAATTTTTAAAATGTATACAATCTGTTGTAATTGTTTGAAAGGCGTTTAAAATATTTTAAAATCTTAAAATCTGTCTTTTACTATCGTTTCAACAATTTGCATCATATTTATCATTCCATTAAATTTAAAAAAATTAAGACCCTAAAATAACTTAAAACTTATACAAATTTTTCAAAATGAATATTGAGGATACATCTTATTGTCTTTCAAAAGATTATAAAAGGTTTTTATTCTCCTTTTTTCCTTTAAAATAATTTAAATAAATATCTTTCAATATCTTATTAAAAATTGATCACATTCCAGGCCCCGAAAATGGAGTTCTCAAAATTGATTTCTTATTTTCTGCAAGTGTGTCTCATTTTATTTTTATTTTTATTTTTTTGAGCTCCCTAATTAGTTTCGCCTTCATAAGGAAGCTCTGGACAATTGTCGATATATCTCCTTTTTGAGTTTGCTGATTGCCCATTTAAAAAATGCAAATTTTAACCAAAAGAGCAAAAAATGAAACAAAAACTGACAAGGAAAAAACAAAAGCGAGGCGGACAGAGTGAAGCCATCAAAATTGGAGTTGAAATCTCAAAAAACGAACAGATTGCACTTAAAAATGCCCAAAAAAAGAAGCAAAAAATCAACAGAAGAAGGCAAAAATAATTTGTTAAACTTTATGGACAGGCAAAAACTTAATTAAAACAAAAAATGATCAAGCAAATCCTTTTTAAGCTCACTTAATTAAAAACGCACAGAGTTAATGAAGTTTTTTATTTTGTATTTTTGTTGAATGAAGACAGTTTTCGGTTTTCATTGAGAAATCGTAAAAGATAAACAGATATGGCGAAGGCACTGAAAATAAAAGATAAACAGACCATCAATATTTGGTGTGTTGGTGTTTTTTTGTTGTTTGTGTTTTATTTTTTGTCTACTAAAAGAGGCCACACAAGCAGCAGAGGAGGAAGCAGAGGACAGGCAGAGCAAAAGGCGGAGGCGGCAAAAGCCAAAGGAAAGGCGAGTGAAAAAAGTTTCCCAGGCCTCGAAAATAAAACAAAATGGAGCTACGAAAAAGAGAAGAAGCAAGTGGGAGCAAGGGAGAGGCAAAAGTGGGGGCCAAAAAAAAAAACGGTGCTGCGTAATACAGTTGCTCTGCTCTTGCTCTGCCACTGGTTTTTAAATGCTCTCTCGGTCGCACACATACTTGAGCGTAAAACGGGTTGAGGAGCAGCTAAAAAGAGCAAGAATGAGTGAAAGAGCAAGCGAGATAGACAGAGCGCCGCCCAAAGCGCCACAAGACCAGGGCCACGCCCACTTCTATGCAAGTATGTGTGAAAGAAAGTTACTGTTTCACCAGAGAGAAAGAGCTTATCAAGGAGATTTTATTATAAAGAATATATAGCTATTTAAACACTCTTTTAGCCACTGATGAACTCACGCACTCATTAGTTCGCTAAAAACTTAATTGAAATGTTGTCTTACTTAAGCTTAATTAACAGTCAGCTCAGGTAACACGCCTTCGCACAAACAAAATCACTCAACTCAACTCAATGCTCTCTTTCCTGGCCGCTCTTTGGCTCAGTTGCACGACAACCAATCAGCGGTAGCACTCAAAACTTGTTTTTCGCTCAAACCAGCGCGTGCGAAAGGGATAGAGAGCGTGGCTGAGAGAGACTGGAATGAAAAAGTTAAAAAACTGGAAAAATAAAAGAAAAACACAAAAAGTTCAACCCATCAAGCTGAAGTTTTCGATCGTAACTGAGTTACGGTAACTCTGCAGTTGACTCTCGCGCACAGAAGCGTTCGGAAGTGAAATATATTTTATTAATAATATTACCCAACAGTTGCGGGCTACCAAACGGTTTAAACCTGTGTATATTCCGCTTCCAGTGTGTTAACCTAACAGCAAAAGAAAAACACTTTCGCAATAGGTAAGTGCAAGTAGCACGCCATTTTGTGGCGTTTTTCCTTTTGTTTTTGTCGGTTTGCTTCTGTTAGAAGCGACGCCATTTTGTGGCTACTGTTGAGGGGTTTTTTTTTTTCTTTTGTCGAGCCACCGGACTTACGCATTTAGCTAAGAACAATGTGGGTGCAACAAGGATACTAGAATGTTGCGCAGACGCAGTAGCCGAAGTTTTTCCGTCCTTTGGCACTCGGTTTTCGAGAACTTGCTTCGGCTACTGGTCTTCGTTTTTCTTCGTTTCGCTTCCAACTTCCAACTTCGGATCTGGATGACTCACACACACACACAAACACACATACACACAGATACACATACGAGCACAACACATTGAGTGCCACCGAATTGAGTAACAGACAGAGACAGAGCGATGATCTTCGGTCTTCGGCGCAGTCGCTTCCTCAACTTGCCAGCAGCGACGCCGGCAGCGGCAGCGCAGCCAGCAGCAGCGGCAGAGGCGACTACTATTTCTTTCAGTTATTAGTATTTCATTCATTCAACTTTGTGCCGCTCGAGCGTGCGTATACAGTTCCCTCTCATCAGTTCCTTCGCGACGTACCTTGATCGATCTATTCGTGTGTAGAAAGAAAAACCTAAGGAGAATAAGAAAATATACATGCATTATAAAAGAAAAACGAACGGAAAAAAACCTACGACTCACAAAACTCTACCTAAGCAGACCCCGCAGACGCGTAATTCCAGTTTCCCATTGGGTAAGTCCCGTTTTCTCTCCCGCTCTGCTTCATTCTTCTCCCCACAATTCGGTAGCTGGAAAATGGCGTTCGTTCTTTGCTCCCCCACTCCCCTTCCAGTCCAGTGTCGCTACCAGTTTTACGCCACTTTCATTGGACAACTGGAAAGAAGCACTAAGAAATAAGAAAAAGAAAAGAAGGAGAAGGCAAAAACCCCACCAACACGTAACACGGTTGCGTGTGGCGCTCTCTCTTTCTCTCTTACCTCTCTCTCTGTCTGGGCTACCGTTAGAGGGAGAGAGGGCTGTCTCTAATATGGCGTGCGTGTGGCCAACGAAGCTTTTTCGCCGTGTGCGTGCGCTTGCGCGGTGTGTGTGTGTCCAATGAAAGCAGCGTAAAACTGGAAGCCGAGCAACCATTGGAAGGGGGAAGAATTGTAAGAAGAAACCGAAGAATGGTAGCACTCTTCTTAAACCAAAACTGTCAAGGGAAAGATACTTAGGGTTTTGAAATCAGTTTTCATAGGGAATTAGGGAAATATAATTAAAACATTTTTAGCAAACAAAATTGAATTTATAAGAAGAAACTACTGAAGATTCATAGTTAACTGCTTTTTTTTTCAATTTATTACAAAATTTCAAAAATCTTGCAAAAACTTGAATCTCTTTCGAAAAGTCCAAGGATCCACAATAATTATGAAATGTAATGACAATTTTTGATTTATTTGTCACTCTTTATATTCTTTTGGAAGGTTTAAAATAAATTCTAAAAAGATATAAAACATAGATTTAATATATTCCGAATCTCCAAAAAGCCGTCGGCTTGTCTTCCATTCTGAAGTTGAAACTCCCCCAATGGAAGCTTGAAGAATCGAAGAATTCGATGACTCAGCGGAAAGGCACTTCTTATAGATTGGACAAAAGTCTAGCTCATGGAGGGTTAAAAAAAATTAAAAGAACGCACAAATCACAGCGAATCATCGCCAAAAATGTCCGCCAGATCATCATCAACAATGAGCAGCCGTTTTTTTGGACAAGTTTTTTAAGTTATGAGTCATGAGTTTGATTTTTCGTGGGATTATGAAATGCCAACTTACCAACAGATGTTCAAATATAAAACTCAAGCGAGTGAGTAAAGGGATTAGGTGTATTTGAAATACCACAGATTAGGATAAACCTGTCAACACCTGTGGGGAAAATTTTTTTTATATAACGCTTTAAAATTCTTTCAAAATCCCTTGATAAAATATTTAAAAACTCTGATAAATAGTTAGAAAAACATAAAATCATGGCTCTGATTTCTGGTAACTTCTTAAAGAGTTCCTCTGGAATTTGGAACCGCTTTTCCAGTCACCATTTCAATGTCGTTCTTCTCACCTTTCCCCGACTTTCCAACAGTGCCTGTGGATGATCTTTGACCTCGTCTGCCACAGACCGCCCGGTGTGCCTCATCAATTAAGAGTCTAATTAGCTAAGCGATTACGGTAAATGGTGAAGATCTTCGCTCTCAGCTGGCAGCTCTAATCTGAGACATCGTCTTCTATATATATATATTTTTTGAGCAACTGTCATATCTTTAACAGCTGAAAGAAGGTGAGAAGCGAAGGAAATTGACTTTCGTTCCCAAGAGAAAGAGGTCCCACGTCTTAGTTCCCTTCAAGCCATTGTGTCTTCTGTGTTGTCTTGTGGTGTGTTTGGGGTACATCGTTCCAAGAGTCCTTTGTTCGGTTTGAAGTGGCAATGCCACACATCCTTAATTGTCTTTCCACCAACTTGTGTGTGTGTGTGTGTGTTTTTCCTGAGAATTCTGCGCCATTAGCACAATTAGATTCGTATCAAATGGGATCATCGGTGCCTTTGTCCCTTCAACCTTATGTCCTTTTATTGTCATTTATTCTCGCTTCGTTTAGTTTTTTTTCACTTTTCGGTTGTAATTTTTAATGGCACCTTGCCAACTCACTGTCCGCCTCCTACAAGAAAACAAAAGAGAAGGTGAAAGAAGTGTGGTAATCGCTTTTGACCATGTCCCATGCCGTCCTGCGACGTGTGTGTCACTCTGAGCCCCGTTTTTTGAGCCTGTTATCGCCCGAAACCCGCTACACATTTATCTCGGGGTGTTAAAACTGTAACTTCGTGTTTGTGTCCAACTCCGAGTTCGAGGAATAGTATCCCGACGCACTTACTCCTCTGCAGATTTGTATCTCTCACATCTCTCCATCGTATTTTCTCTTACCCATCGCTCTGCAAATCTAATTTCACGCAGCATTAACGCCTTTCGCATGCCCTTCACCCAAAGGAAGGATCATGCTGTGCCAAGAAGATCTCCTCCCCGATCGTCCTGTGACCGTGTGCTCTCGCTGTGTAATTATTTCCAGTGCGGATTAAATGCGGATTATCTTTTGGCGTTTGTACAACAGTTTATTATACAATATTTGGCCAAATCTGTGGGTGTTCGTTGGTTCTTTGATCGGTTTAATGTTAAGCGGATTTGCAATCTGCAAGTTGCCAAATACTAACAGTTGGAGATCGTCAAACCAAGATCGAAGAAGGTGCCACCAAGTGACGCCTCTTTCTTAGGGTTTCTGTAAGTCTTTGAGATTTGGTGAAGATTAAGCATAAGGTGATTTTCTTAAACATATTTGGGATTTTCTAGGATTAATACCTTAAAGTTATTGTTTATATAATTATCTTCTTTGGTAGTGAAAATACACAAAATAAGTTACATTTAAAATGATAAATCACAACAAACCTTAATAAAATATTCCCAGTACTAAATGAATTCCTATACCAAATTTCATCATGGAATGACCATTAACTCCCAAGTTCCCATAGTTAGTTTCTGCATATTTCTAAATTAACTGAGTCATTTGCACAGCTGGCCATGGGAGAAACCCTTTTTGGGGACTCTTCGTACGTACTCACCCGCTGGGTTATGGCCATGGTGGTATCCTCTACGGTTGCCAAAACTTAACCAGTGTTTTCTTCATTAAGGTGGCGGCTGTAACAAGTTTATTTTTTTAATTGGCGCCTTGCCAATCGAAATTTATGCCGAAATCGATGCGTTGCGGTAGTTAACAACTGTTATTTTTTATGTAATTTTATTTTTGTCATTTCGGCGCCGCTGGATATTCCTTTTCAGGATATATATTTCCCAGATTTAGTGGCAGTTTTTTTTGTTTCACTTTTGGAAACACGTTTTTTTTCCTTATTTCTTTTGCGAAACAAAAGCCAGGCGCTGACTGGTAGCGACAAGCGTCTCTCGGCAAGACCCGATATATTTCGATATTTATTTATATGTTATATGGTGCTTTCAGCTCGCAGCTGGAACACTTTCTGGAGACTCTGGCTGGAAGGTATCCGAATGTTGGGTTGTTGGGATTGGGATTGGGAATGGGAACCGGGGTTCGTTTTTGGGGAGCTAACGTTGACAACAAAAGGCAAACGTCACAGCGGGTTGCCTGCACCGGCCGCAGACGGTACGTAGTTATTGTCATTATAACATTAATGCCCACTAAACATATTCAAATTATAACACTGAGTGTCCCAGACTGAGAGATGGCACTGAGAGGAAAAGTTCTTACTTATAAGATTACATTCATCAACTTGTGGCACGAGATTTAAAGATTTCTTCTGAGTTGTTCTATGAATAATTCAGTATATCGATAAAACATCGATGTTGCATGCCAAAGATAATATCAATCGATATTTTAATGTTGCAAGTTGGATGATGTATGTCAAGAATCGATATCTGAAGGGATTGTCAGAAAAAAACAAATGTGCAACAATAGCCTTTTTTCGATAGCTAAATTTCGATATACTCAAGTTTTAGGATGTTTCCGATATTCGCTCGATTGAATATGGACTTCAATCGACAACATTTTAAAACAGTTTAAAATTAATGATCTTCCTATTTTAGTTTAGTCTGATTTGAATAGGAAATATAAAAATATCATTAGTTTCAGTAGGATTTTATTTTATTAATGAGTCGAAATCCATTATACTTTATATATAATATAATATTTTTTCTTTTGGAGTATAGATTCTCCAAGATCATTTTGTTTTAATTTTTTTTCCAGTGCCCATGGGGAACTCTGACTGAGGTTCGGGTTCGGGTTCGAGACCAGGCCTTGGGTCGCGCTGATCGCATTGGTCATGTCTCTGGGGCCTGGAAATGCCTTGGCCAAAAAGAAACTCCTCCAATGTTAATTTGTGTACACAATGTGGCGTCACATTGGCATTTTAACGCCGTTAATCATGCGACACAGGGCGCCTGCATAAGGCCATCCATTCGATATGGATTCTTTGGGTCCGGGTCCGGGTCTGCTCAGCTTGGATCGGTCTCGCATTTAGTTATGCATTGCTTTGGATTTGGATTTGGACTCGGATTTGTTTGCTTTTGGCTTGGGTTTTTCTTTTTTGTCTCTGAGAGCGTGGGCCTAAGTGGAGCAGGCGGCATTAGCCACGGGTTGCTCTCCGGGGTTAAGCACTCTATTTGGTCATCTTTTGCTGAATGCGTCGAATGACGATGAAATTGTCTGTGGCTTTCAGGACAAAGGGAACTCAGAGGAACATCGCTGTAAAGGTGAATCTTTGCTGCGGATAACCCTGTCCCCGATAGGTGTAATTCGAGCTGACAATTGAGTGAGCCCATCAATTTTGAGTTTAACTGAGTTGTTGAATTAAGATCTTAATGGTTTTGGCAAGGAAATAAGATCTGGCGATTCTAAACCATAATTTCTGAGGGAATTTATTTAAAAGAACCATGTTTAAATGTTAATTCGACTGTTTTAGCCTACCAACCTGTCGTAACTTGGTTTTTCTCAAAGATTGTTTGTCATTTGGTATAGAAAACAATAAGACCTGGCGATTATAGATAAAATGTTTGAAAAAATTAAAATGTTATTTCCGCCTGTTTAAACCTCCTAACCTATGATAACTTGGTACCTTCAGAGAGAATCGATCTGAAATTTGGTATAGAAACACTTAGAACTCAAATATTTATTGTAAATAAGTTGGATACACCTCTTCACTTAGTTACCTTTCGTAAAACAAGTGCTGCCGCCTCCCACTAATTGAACAATTGTGTTTGCGGAAGTAAAGTCTCTGAACTTTGTTAAGTGTGCAAAAAATAAGTATATATTTATGTCTATATAGTATATACACGTGAACAATCGTTGAAGACAAATTATTATAAAGCCCAGACCGAAGGTTAGCAACTGTGAAAACGGTTGTCGGCGATGGTGATTTGTAAATGTCAACACTGCCGCCGTAGTCCGAGGTGCTGGATTTTGTGGCTCATTTAATGACTCATATTGTCGATTTCATGTTGCGTGATCTCTCCGAGACAACTTGTATCCATGAGAAATAATACCCAATACGTAAACAGATGTGGTTAAAATAAAAGCACCATAAATTACGTGTCGTATAAAGAAACTGGGGTTAAATTAAGGTATTTGTGGAGTAGGTGTAGCTTTATTTAAGATTTTATATTATTTATGGTGTCTTTTTTTAGACTTTCTTAACTTTCTTTAATTGAAAAACATTGAGAATGTAGTTTATAAATATTATATAGTTTCTAAGGCTTTATAAAACTGTAACATATTATACATTTTGATATTTCTTATTTAAACTTCTATATATTATAGTTTTTGATAGTTTTGATATGAAAATCAGCATAAAACATTAAATAAATTAAATAAATAAATTAAATTAAATAAATCGATAAATTTCGATATAGTTTTTGATACTTTAACTTCGATATACACAAATTTACGATATTTTTGATATGAAAGCGAGTATGATATTGTCATTATATAATTTTTTCTTCTCAATATGATCATTTTATTTTTTGAAATTCTAAAATAAACCCACAAAAATATTTCGTTATATGTAAAAGATATCATATATGACAAAGATTTGTATATAGGATGTATATTATTTTTGCTTAAAATTTATTGACCCATAAATGCTGTCGAAGGCGTTATGTGTTGCCAACTTTATTTAAACTTTTTGCGTCTATCTCTCTCTATATGTTTTTAGGTGTTTGCCTTAAAGTGCGCCATAAACTAACAAAACTGAAACCTAAAGTCAGCGACGCCCACCACCAGCAACTGGTCACCTGGACAAAAAAAAATATATACAAAAAAAAGGGGTGGAGAGAGGTGAAATCACAGAGCTATATAGAAAAGATAAAGCCGGCAGCAGCAGCAGGAGGAACTTCCAAGCAACGTTGCCGCTTTTCAGCGACGACCAATCAGCCCGAAAAAAGGCAGCAATTAAAGCGAGGTGTTATCTCCCAGATAGCGATTAGAGGTGCCAGCAAAAAAAAAAAAAAATATAAGCAACAAAAAATCATAAAAAACATACAGAAAAATATTACCCCTTTTTGAGTGGAAAACCCCCCCGGAGGAGAGAGCACTTTGGAGCGGACTGAAAAAGTTCAGAGTGCCGTCTATAGAAAATTCACTAGCAACGAGAGCGAGGCTCCACACTTTGGAGCACCTGAGAGCGAACAGAGCACTCAGACACACACTCACACACACCTGAGTGTACACCTGAGAAAACGTTGGAGCTTTTCTGTGTTGTTTTTTTCGTCGACGGAGAAGTATACACATATCGCCTGTCAAAATGTTTGCTGTAATGCGAATCGACAACGATGACTGCCGGTCCGATTTTCGCCGCAAGATGCGTCCAAAGTGCGAGTTCATTTGCAAGTACTGCCAGCGGCGATTCACCAAGCCGTACAACCTGATGATCCACGAGCGCACCCACAAGTCACCCGAGATCACTTACTCCTGTGAGGTGTGCGGCAAGTACTTTAAGCAGCGCGACAACCTACGTCAGCACAGGTAAGAATCAATGAACATTGTTGCTTACAACATTTATTTCTAGTTAATATATTTGACACAAAAAAAATCACAAGGAATTTTGTATAATTAAAAATTCTACAAGATTAAATTGCCTTTCGATTTCAAAGTACTCAACTTTTAACGTCTTTTTATTCACTCGAAAATTTCCTAAAACAAACAGAATTTGTCTTTAAAGAAATTAATTGGAAATATTTATTCACATTTAAAAACGAAGCTCTAAACTAAACTTTCATTATTTTCTTAGTATTTTATTAAAAAATGTCCCAGAAATTGGGATTTTTTATAATAAATGTATATAAAATAAAATATATCTTTAATTTTATAAACACAAAATTCAATTTTCAACAATTACATTTCTAAAGATTTTTTATTTATGAAGATTTAAGATTTCATTTATGTTTTGACAAAGTTTCTTTAATTGCTGATTAAAAATTAAATTTTTTGAACTGCTTATAAAACTAAAATAATTGTTTATTATTTTAACATTTTCATTTACCTAAAATCTAGAGTACTGCTAATTTATTCCAATCATTTTCCCTTTTTTTAATATCATCAATTAGAACTTGAATAAATTAAATCGGCTTGAATCATATTCATTATCATATTGAATTAATATGTAAATTATATAAATAGTATTTTATAAAATACAAGGAGAAAGCATGAAACAACAGAAATAATACAGATTTTGGATTTTTTTTTACAAAGGTGTTGGTTATAGACATAAAAAATAAAATAAAGTGTGATCTAATTTTGGTATTCCCTTAATAGAAGTAATGCGAGTCAGGTATTTAATTTGTTTATTAAAAAGGGACTTACTTTGATAGGGAAAGTTTTGTTAAAATTTACATTTGAAAAAATGAATCCCCTTAAGTGTCATTTTAATAACTACTAGTTACATTTTTATTACATAAAATTATATATAAATAAACCAGAAGTCGTTTAATTCCCTGTTAGGTTTTTGTATTATTTATTTTAATTAAATCAAGTATTACCACAACAATTAGCTTTATTAATGGGGATTTATTTAAATAATTGTCTGAACAAATAGGGTCATTAAAAGTAATTAATTTTATATATTACATATTATTATGCAGAAATGGGCTTTAGTAACAAATCCGGAATATATTTTATATGGAAAATACAACAAATCCCACCAAATTCATTATCTGTAAATTCGATAAATTATTTCAGATAACGCTTCATTTTCACCACCAAAAAAGCTCTCTTTTTTTGTTTTATTGATAAAAAGCTTAATCATACTATATCAGCGCACTCATACATATACACACTCTCATGTCTAACCAACCATAAAAGAACCAAAATCATGTATTATTATTATTTTATTTTTGGGGCATTCAGCACAAAGCTTTTTGTTAATAAAAATAATAATAAGAACAACCTTCAGCCACATCACGATTTTATACTCTATTTTTCTTTCTTTCTTCTCTCTTCTATTTTGTAGATGTAGTCAGTGTGTTTGGCGATAAGCTAAAAAAAAAACATATATATAAACATATATATAAATATATATATATATAAAAACCACAACACACAGAGCAATATATAAATATATATAAAGTAAAAACCGATATCTAAAAAGCACCGCAGCACCAACAACAGCACGCAATATTATATCACAGCTATATCTAAACAAAAACTGAATATATTGATTACTGAATGATTACTGAATACTGAATATAATGAATAAACTGAATACTGGAATGAATGGTATCTGATCTAAGCGGCAACAGCAACACCACACCACGCCTACTTCTTCTTCTTCACTGCACCAACACCACCACCACCACCACCCTAAGCATAAGTAAAAAAATAAAATAAATATCCAATAAATATATTCTGCAAAATATTGCTTAAAACTACTAGATCTGCAATCTACAGCCACAGCCTCGAGCAATTATCACGGATTCAGGTGTTGGTTTCCAAATCTATTTGGTTATCTTGGTCTATTCAAAAAAAAAAAAAAATGCACTCCATCAACAGCTGAAAATAATTAAAAACTGAATTATTAAAAAGAATATTAAGAATGAAGAAAGAGTAGCCATTATTATGTTGCGCAGGCGCAGCACCACCAAGGCAACATTGCACCTAAGCACCATATTGCAACATGTATATTGCGGCAAGCAACAAAACAACAAACATATTTTAAATAATATTTGCAGAAATCTACACATGGACACTTGTGGGCGTGGCTGCTATGGGAAGTGAGTGGAGAATAAAGAAGAGAAGAACAACAACAACAATATTTGCAACTAATTAAACAGAGAACCATATTTAGTAAAAGAAAAGGAAAAACAATGCAGAATGCCTAAAACTAAACAGTTTTTGATTAAAGAAAATTTATAAAGATCAATAAAATATTTTCTTTAAATTATGCAGCACTTTTCCTATACAAATTGCAATGTTAAATGTTAATTAAACAATCTAGAATATTAAATACAACCAGCAACATGTTACCAGCAACACCCCGCATCAGCATCATGTCAACCAACAGCAATCAGCAACATATCAGCATTTCCAGCCCAGCAACAATCTACGAAGATGCACTCTCCAGCAACATGAAGACAACTATCATCTATAATAACGCAACATTGTTGCTGCTGCCTTGTTGCCAAGAGAAAGTGCAATTAAGCTTCAGCTTTTTGTACTTTCCGCATAGCAACAAGTCCAGCCAGCAACATGCAACACCAAGCCAGCAACAATGTTCCCACGCACCAACAACAATTCAACACTCAGCTGCAATTATCTTGCCTTAAAAAAATTTGATTCCATAATTAATTACCATTTAATAATAATATTAAAAATGCAAAAAATCAAAAAACAAACACGAACACACACCCGCACACAACACGTACGTCATAAGTATTTGTATTTTTAAAAATCTAAAAGCAAACACGTTGAAAATGTATTACATAAAATTAATAATAATTAATAATATTAAATAATAAAAAAAACAAATATTAAATAAATATTTACGATATATGCGATTGTTTTGTTTAAGTTTAAATTTTAAATAAATAAAAAATGAGAAACGAAAAATGAGTAGAGCGAAATTTAAGCACAAATTTTATCAACGAAAAAAACAACAAAATTGTTTATTTGTTTATGTTTCCTTTCTTTTAAGTGACCCGGCAATAAGATTGTAAATGTTTTTCCGCTATTTATGATAATAATAAATAATAATAAAATAATTAATAATGCCATCATCCCCTCTGAACATTTTCTGTTTTATTCGCAAAATAAATCAGCTAAAAGAACCCCGCAATTTATACATAAAAACCCTAGTGTTAAAACGGCGCAACAATAAGTAATTAAAAATAAACGATATTTATACAATTAAAAGAAAATCAAACAGAAAAAAACCCAAATTGAGTTTCTCTGAGAGGACAGAATGGATTGGGAGAAGTTCCGTTTAATTTGGCGCGCTCTCACTGAACGTGAGAGCACTCCGCTCTCTCAAGCTGCGCTTTTACCTCTTCTGCTGCTTCTTATTTTTTCATATTTGGCACGCACTTCAATTAGTTGGACGAAAAGTTGACGCGCTCCGGTAAATAATTAATAAAAAGTGTTTTATTGGCAATTAATCGGGTCGTAAATAGTGTATTTCGGTTGTGGAGTGTGTGCCTTAAGTGTTAATCAAGAAAACCCCATTTTCCTACGGGCTATTAGCTACAAAATCATAATTTAAGGTAAGTACAGTTTTTTGTCTTTGCAAACACACAATGAACACGTATTGTGTATGTAGCCGGTTTAATCAGTTGTGTTAACAATCTGTGACTACTTAATTACACAAAACATCGTTTAGTTGACAGAAAACAATGCAGTTTGTGTGTTTTTAGCGCAAAATGAAATGCAAATGCAGCGAAGCCCTAGCGGTCCCCCTATTCTTTTCGTACTTTTCCATGTATGTACATATGCATGTGCGTTGTTATTGCCTTTGGCTTTGCTTTTGATCTTGGGTAACGGTTGTTTTTGCTTTTGGTTTGGTTTGCTGTTTGGTTTGATCGAAAGGGAAAAAACATTTGCGGCGGCTCGCTTGGCGGCTGCGTTTTGCGGGTTTATTGAATTGAATATAATTAAATAATTCACTGTAATAAATTAATTGATGCAAATTGGATGAATGGAATTAGTCGTGTAAGGTTTACTGTTATTTTAACTGCTGTTTATTTTTGTTGGCATTTGGTATTTTGTTTGTTTTTATTATTAGATTGTCTTTAGACTTTTGTGGGTTAATTAAGCAGTATAAATATGGGAAAATTTTTTATAAATTATAGGATACCTTAATGTGTATCTTAAAATAATATTTTAGGGTTTTTAAATACAAAGATGTATTTTATAATTAGCATTACAAATATTATTTTGGATATTTTTAAATTATTATATTATTGTTCTTAACTAATTGTTGTTCCGATCGATCAATTGTTTTGCTAAAATATATATAATTTTATACAAAATAAATTAAGCAGATTAATCCATTCGCCTATTCCTATTTGTTTTGGTTCCTTCTCCCTACTTACGCTTCCTATACTTGACTTTGAAATGATCTTTAAAACTTTACCTAGGCTTAAAGCTTACAGTAAGACTACGAAAAAGCTAAAAGCTCTGGTTTAGTTGGGAGTTTAATTCTTTTAAAATAAAATTATATAGGAAAATATTTTCTAATAAATAATATATATTTCTAGCTTCCTATAGCCGATATATCGACCTTCTCCTTATCTCCAGTACGTGGGTGTATGCCCTTTGTGTGTTCAGGAAACTTCTCACTTTCGAATATATAAATATATCCCCTTTTGCAAGCACTCACTGTACCTGTAGCGGTGTGTGTGTGTGAGGGATGCGCGATAATCAATTCATTTGTTGCGTTTACCGAGCATTTAGGTTTAACTATTTACCGAACAATTAAGCAAACTATTAAGACCAACTGCTCCTTTGTCGGCTCGCACAATTGGTAAATACCAGAAAACCAACAAATAAAAGAGAGAGAGAGAAAAGGGAGGTACTACAGAGATATAGAAAGGAGAGGAGTTTCACATGCGATGATCATAAATCATTTCTCCAAGTTCCAAAACTGCGCTGCGTGTTCTCGTGTTAATTAAATATTGACTATGTTTTGATAAGCCGTAACATTTTGCCCCAGGGAGGTGTCCTCTTTCCTCCTTCTTCCATCTCCTCCTCCTGCTGCTGCTGCTGCTCACTCCGATTTCGAGTTCGATTTTCCACAAATTTAAATGTTGACACTGCCACGCGGCAGGATATGCCGGGAAAAAAGGACAGGGTACGAATGGTAATGAAAGCGTTTCCAAATGCGAAACGAATGCGCCAACAGCTACTGTGGCGAGTGTGGGCCAGTACAGATATAGACAGATATAGATATATAGGGCCTGTGGTTCAGATCTGACCTGTGGTTCGGCATATCGATACGGATGTGGCCTGTGGTTATCGCCACATGGCAGGTACAAAGGTGGTCAAAACAATAGGCCAAGGGAGGCCTTAAGGCAACGAAATATTTTTGGAAATTTGTATCAGGAAGACTTTATTAAATATTTGGAAAATTGTGATGAAAAGTGGAGGTTTAAAGAAAACATAAATAGGAAAAATTTTATATATCTTATTATTCAGGAATATTTGATTATAAAATGGTAGAAAGAATAGGGTCATTATTTTAAAAAGTTTTGAATATGTTATATATATTTTATGAGCTAAAGAAAACTAAAATTAAGTAAAATGTGAGAAATAAACTGAAAATGAAATGAAATTAAGATTTCTCTAGACATATTTAGAGTTCGCCATCAGAAGCCTGTTTTAAACATTAAAAAAGCATTAAATAATAAAACTTTTATCTATATCTAGAAATAATTTAAAGTTTTATAATATTTATGAACACTTTGTATAAATGTTTATAGATTTTCAAGTATTCATAGTAGTTTATCAATGTGTTTATATTAATACTTAACTTGTTAATTCTATTAAATATTTCGTTCAGAACTGAAGTAGCTGAAAGAACATTTGAGCAACCTTTAAATTAAAAATTTCACACATACTAAAATTCAACATCAAAACCTTATTTTAGGGGAATCCCTCAAAGAGCGTAGAATAACATGAACCTTTTTTATTTCGCAATTGACACCAAAACCCAAGATTGGTCTCGCATTTCTCGGTGGCACTTCTATTATTCTGACCTCCGCTGTGGAGCCGGCATGTGGTCGCCTTCCGAGGCACGTGTGGTTTTCCAGCTAACCGCTGCCGAAGTTGATTCCGAGCCGCTTCCTGCTGCTGCTTATGGCATTAACCTAAACTGTTTCCACCTTCCTGGCTCTGCCCACCCCTGCCTTTTGCAAAAAGGACGACGACGACGTCGAGACGGCGGCCACGCAGTGTGACTTCGGAGCGGGCCAGAGTCACTCTTTGGAGGCACCACCAACTCGCTAGGATGCGGATTCAAATCCGGGCCAAAACGGAGGCCCGCTGTGTGCGCCGTCACCCGCTGATTTTGTTGGCCGCACATTGGCTTAGGTCTGGCCTGGTCTGGCTGGTCCGAAATCCAAAGCCAAAACTAAACCAAGTCGATCCGATCCGATCTGATCCAAGGCGACACATTGGAAATGGTCAGAAGAGGGGGCGATCCACTGGCCCACCCACTCGTTCTATAGAGAGTATTTGGTAGGGAAAACAGTGTTTTAAGCCAAGGGAAAAAATTGGGAAAAATCTGTGAAAATTGTTAGAGAATGTGTGAAAGATATTTATATTACATTTTTGACACTATTGGATTTAAATCAAGAATAGCTTGTGACAAACACTAATAATTATTGATTAATGTATGTTTTTAGAAATATTTAAAGTATTTCCAAAGTACTTTACTATGCGTTATTTATTGCTTATATTCTAATGTTATTTCTTTCTCGTTATTCATAGGAAAATCTACTTTTATTATATTATATTAATTTCATGTACAATTTTATAATCTTACATTTATATTCCTCACTTTAAGTGATTCCTCTTAGCACCCCTAATCAATTTCGGTCATCTCTTGTTTGGACCAGGCCCAAAAAACTAACTGATTCAACACTTTGGTAGCGCAATCATCATTTCCGTTGCTTAAAACCGAGGTGGCAATAGATTGAGGTTTCTTATTTTTTATATACATAGTTGCACATGCAGATTTCTTTAATGGTCTCTGATTCACCATCATCACCACCACATTGTGGCTACCATAAACTCTCATACAGTTTCCCCATTTCTCACTGACTCACTACGAATTTCTTTCTAACTCAAAAAGACTGCATAAATCTAAGCAAAGTTATTTGGCAACAGGTTTCAGTTAGCAGCAGCCTTCGTCAACTGATCAAAAGACAGATCTCAGCCAAGAGGCCAGCAGCTGAGATACTCATATCTTGAAGCAACCTCAGCAGCAGCAGATTCCTCAAGCACCAGCCAGACCTTTTGGTATTTCGGCATTTCGGCATACACTGATTCAGACTTTTTGGGGACCCCGTTAAGAGACGATGTCTAACTCATTAGATGTCATTTTGCTGATAAACACTTGTTTTATACTCTATACCAGAGAGGGGTAGCTTTGAATGGCCATCGTGGGGAATTTTTATAGAAAAGTTTACTTACAAGTTAATTAGTTTATAAAAGGTCTTTGTAAGAATGATAGTTCTATAAAATATTTAAATTAAAAAGGTTTTTTTGAAACTGATTTTAGTTTAATTTATGAAAGTTAAGGATCTATCAGTTGGCAGGTATTTTTTTAAATATTAAAAGTATTTGCATAAATTCTTTGGATTTACATTATGAGGTTAGAAGATAAACTTTATATGATCTATGATCTTTATATGTATATATCTACTGTTTACAAATTCGGGATCAAATGATAATCTAATTATCAATCAATGATATATTTACTGCAAGTGTTCC